TACATGTCTGTTGTACAACAATCTGATCAGATGTTTCCTCTGTTGTCTGTCTTATGCTGGTGTTTAACATGTGTCTGATTGGGTCTCTCATAAAGTTAATGAGTAGTTTTTAGATTGCAGTCAGAGTCACAAGGAGAAGATTAGGGAAAGTACTCCACAAAGCTCTATGTGCTGCTGCTCTTGCTCAGCACACTCTTGTGCATCTATAGACAAGTGTAAGTTGGAGACTGACATGGATGTGGAGAGGACAGAGCAGGTGGGTGAGTGGACAGGTTATGGACAACATACGTACGGCAGTCTAGTGAGTCTATCCCCACCAATCCTTGCTTAGTCAAAGCTGCTGTTGTTACTGATCCATTAATATATATGATGTCATTCCTGTGATTTTAACACACTGGTGCACAGTACAATATGGAAATGCACTGGATGGGCATGGAGGCTGATTATTCCATCACCCTTAGAAGTGGCCCATCCAGGAGGACTTTGGCACATCAGTGAATGGGCAATGTGGAGGTGTTTGCACTGCTGTCACCCAGGCTGTCTCTTCCTAGACTAAAAAGAGGACCTACATTTCTGGGACTGTCACCTTTCACAAACAATAAATTCACCTTAAAATTTAAAATATGTATCCTGCTATACACTGTATTAATTTAAAATAACATATCAAGACTTTCTGAAAGTGCTTTTAAGATAGAGATCATGAGATGGAGGGCACCCGAGCTGACAAATCTTTTCAGTCTTTTTCCTTCCTCCATAAGAATGTGAAGTTTTAAATGTATGCAGCTGAAAGCAGATGAAATTATGGCTCTCCGACACTTTATAATTCTGAAACAGATATGTGATTGATTGCAAGGTGGCGTAGCTGCTGGCAGTTTTTGTCGGCACATTTTGATGATACAAGTTTCTTAGGTGAACTTCAAGTACATCAGTGACACATACTATGTTTCAGACACTTTGAATGATTTCAAAGCTAATAATTTATGAGAGCTTTTGGAGCAAGTTATTAGGTTAGTCTCAGGAGAGATTTATTTTTTTAATCCTCAGTTCCTTGCTGTATGTTCTGTTTATCTCATCTCATTCTGCTAGTAAACAAATACGTAAAACTTTAATGCAGTTGTGTCTGCTTTATAACTGTGCCTCATCAGCTTACCAACATTTCCCATTTGAAACATTTGTATTAGTGAATGGCTGTCTAGCAGACTAGAATCTGGGGGAGCGGGGGCAGAGAATAGTTCAAATGAAGTACCTCAAGTACGGTTTAATTGAGGAATAACTAAAAGGGAGAGTATAAGGCCTTAATTTAGCAAGAATAAGAGACAGGCAGCTCAGAATGCTCATAAAAGTCTTTGAGCTTGATTCTTCTTTGTTACACGTGTGTAAATCAGAACTCCAATAAAGTCAGTGTGCCAGTCTCACCTGTGTGCTCTGGCTTTTCTTTGCCAGAAAGCATCTAAAAATGCTTGGTGGTTCAAAGCATCTAAAAATTCAACTCAATGGGCCATCGTGCAAGAGGATTTCTGGGTACATAGCCCTGTTGTAGTAGTCTTTGCCCTCCTCCACAAGTCTGCATCCAGCATTGCTCCACCTAATTTAAAAATTTGGCCCAAAGGAACAATACCAGTACAATACTGGTGTGAAAGGAGAAACAGACCTTTTAAATTCTTACTGTAAGATGTGAAAGATGTACTGAGTGCATTTGGAAATGCAGAACCTCCATTAATTTTTAGAGATTTAATTTGCTAATCAATATACTGCACAAATTGAATAAAGCAGGTATCAATCCATTAACAAAAGAAGTCCCATGTGCTGTATTTCAGGAGTTATGGAGCACTGCCACATGGTAACTTTTTAAGATTAAGAACATTTGAAGTTATTGAAAATTAGAATGAGCCCTCTCTTAAATGAAACATGGTGGTTGCAAAATGGTATTGTGTGATCCATCATATTCACCTAACACTGTGCTCCTGTTATGGCATAGGTCACTTGAGTTTCTTATATACGTAAATTCAGTGCTTAATTTGTGCCAGCACTTGCCAAGACTGAGGCCTAGCACCTCTAGGCTTGGCAGTTCCTAGCCCCAGCACCTCTGGGCTTGCTGCATCACTTATGAAAGTATTAAAAAATTGCTTGAGCCCCAGCACCTCTTTCATTACAAATTAAGCATTGCATGAATTACTTTGATAAAATGTTAAACTGTGGTCATTTTGATATTTGTTTATACTAGATTAATTTAATGTCATGTATGAAAAGAATAGCCTAAAACAAGTGAAAAAGCAGAGAAATATTGTATATATGCCAGCAGACAATGGTGCCTAAATTGAGCCTGCAAAATTCGCTCACATACATTTCATCTCCACCAAATATGTATGTGAGTGAACAATGAGACATTAAATCATGCAAAGTCCATAATTGCTCAATAAACTGTTTTGTTTGTATATATTTTGGGCCAGACTATGTCATTAAAGCTTTGGCCCACATTGAGGCAGTGTAATTATGTCATGCCCCTGGGAGAGCTCCACAAAGAGCTCTGGACATTTATTTCTCCTGAAGGACACAATGTATCTTCCTTGCAAGAGGGTGAAGCTTACCCTGCTCTGCTGCTGAGTGCAGATGTGGCAGAGAGCTATGGTCCTTACTCCTTTGGCCTCTTTTGGGATGACCAGTTGACAAGAGCAATGGGTCTGTAATTGTGGTTGGATCCCAGGGGATTTGCAGGGGAAGGGAGCGGGGAGAAGAAGGGGAAAATCTGCTTGTGCCTGTTTCCCAGTTTTTGCACCTGCATAAGGGCAAGGGACAGTCTGGTCTTTTATGAGCTCAATGTGGTTGGCCAGTTTCGAAGAGCTGGTATGGAATGTCTTGAAAACAAATAACTAGAATTTGAAGGTGTATCTATGCAGTATTTTGAACAGTATTGTCTCTCCTAGCTAGTCATTCGTGGTTATTGCTTTGCACATAGGCACTCATTCCAAAAGGGAAAAGCCTGAGCTAACTGCAGCTATTCAAATTCCACATGAAATATTGGTATAAAATGATCCCATGCTGTGTTGTAAATGCAAAATTATAATAAATCAAGAGTAAGTCTCTTTACAAAGACACATCAACAGCACACACATACATCAACAGGCTCTCTCCCATGTCTCCCTCAGATCCCAAATATATCCAGAGTCCTGTCACAATTACACCGTAGAACAGTGCAAAATAACATTTTTGAGTAGCCACGAAGCACAATAAAGAGAGAAGCTCTGCATAAGAAGTTAGCATATCAAACACACAATTCTAATAAAGTCACCCTTCATATTTCTGAATTAAATGCTGGAATGAGATTGACACAACTCATAGTTAGATGGCTTCAGCAATTTTATTGACAACAGGAAAAATACATAAACAGAGGCTGATTAACAGTGGGACACATTGTCATTGTGAACAATAATTGGATGCTTGGAATGTGATAACTTTTTATTGTCTTAAAGTTAAAGGGCCAAATTCATCCCTGGAATAACACCATTGGTATCAATGGAATTATTCCAGGGATGAATCTGGCCCAACATGTTTTGGTTCCAGGTTTTCCAGAGAATTTCACACATAATAACTAAGCCTATAATTCAGTCCTTTGAACTATGTGTAGGAAGATTAATCCCACAAGAAATCAAGCTTGGTAATGAACAAAAATGGATTCTTGGACTATGTATGACTATTGGAGGAAGGATTATTGTGAGACATTGAGCCACTATAGAAAACCTGAAGACAGAGAAATTGCCTAGTAGTTACAATGAAATATGCTCATGCTTTACCTTTCCATTCCAAATAGTCACCTGCTTTGTTTAATGAAGAAATGGGACCTCATTTGTTACAGTTTTGGATAGAAAGGCTTAGATCTTTATGAAAGTTTTCAGACTACCTGTATTTTGCCGGATACTGCTGTTTTACTTTTTTGTTTTTAAGGGTGTTTATTTTTTCACTGGCCGGAAATGGTTTAGGATTATTGCGTTGTTAGATTTTAATAATTTACTTAGGATCCATAGAATTCCATGGCTTTGGAAACCACAACAAAGTCAGGTTCCAGTTGCAGAATTTGGGGCACAGCACAGCCTTAGTCCAGGATAGAGGGATAATATCTCTCCTTTTCTAGTGGCAGATCCAGGATGAGGGTTGATGCTGGTCCATTCCCCTTTTGCCACAGAATTTGCAGATTTCATATTACAGATTCTGTTAGTGCCTGTTGTAGCAAAGGACTTGAAAATGCCACATGCAGGCCTAGCATATACTAGTTAACAATATAGCTAAAATGCATATAAAGAGAACAAATAGTAAACAAACTAAATTTTGCAAAAAGAAACAAAAATTTGTATTGGAACCCCATATTTTGGAAAGTTTAGATGAGAAATACACAAAGCAGTGCTTAACATGGGCTAATGCTCAGTTCTTCATAGTAACATGTTTTGATCCTTTTTGATCACTCTAATAATATACTATGAAGCATTGCTCTGTGGGATGTAGTTAAAGCCTATTTAAGCCCAGGAAACTACTACCACTTTCCTGCGGGGAAATATCAGAACATTTTTATTTTTACCTCAATCACTCCAGAAAACTTCATGGAGGATAGTCTCTACTAGTGTGACAGGGCAATTGCTGCCTCAAATATTCCTAGAAAATCGGAGCGAGAACTAAATAGTAAGCATGGTGCTGGAAAATAACGAATAAGATAATTCAGTATTAAATGCTTAAGGCTTACTAGAGCTTGAGTAGCAGAAGGCTTATGCAAATTAGGCAGTTAATAGATGTTCTCCTCAGTAATCTTTGTAGCAAATGCAAGAAAAAAATACCCCCTCCATCCCGAAAAAATAACACCACAAAAATCAGGCTGATTTTTCTATCACACAGGTCACGATTTTGGGTATCTCAATTATTCTGTGTTTTGACGAACATGAAGATTTAATGTAATGAAACTTCATGTGTAAAGCCTCCTAATTTATTTTATTTTATTTATTTATTTTATTTAGATTTCTGATACTTAAACATCTGTGAGTTTTTTCGAAGAGACGAACAACACTTGATGATTGACTCAAGATTCATTTGATGCAATCTGGTAAGTGAAATATAAACTTCGAAATAGGTTACTAATGAATTAAATTGTAATATGAGTCTCCAGAACTTGCACATATTGGCTATTGGGAGTAAAGTTTGGTAGCAAAAGCTCAATTAACACAATAATTAATAAAATACCAATTTTATTATCAGGTGGGTTAAAAATTAAAAAGTAGGAAGATAAGAAAATAGAACAAACATGACTGAATCATTAAATATCATGGTGATAAGCACTCAATGAATACCTACAAAATAAAGAACATATTTGTGAATTAATTCTATTCTGTTCTGTACAGGCTCTTATACCATATTCACCATGTAGCATCTGAGTGCCTTCTAGTAGTGCATTAAACAATGTGAGACTCATCTCACATGTGTTTGTTCTCTTGTCCACAGTGGCTATCATATGCATGTGCAGGGGGATAGGATTCTGGTTACATTCACATGTTGCCACCTTATGAGTCTTTACTTGATCTTGACTACATTCTACTGCTGTGGATTGCCTGTGAGTGGGTCCCTTAGGCAGCTTTGAAATCTCAGCCCCTGAACCTAGCGTTGACAACAACTTGAAGTATTTTTTGCTGTTAAAATCTGTCTACACTAGTGTTTAAAAATGTGTTAGTCAAAACATGCTAGCTAATGCTTTTTTAAACATGACTTGTTTTCCTAGACTAGACATGGCCAATCATATTTTTACTCCTTTTGACCTGAGCAGTTAGCCATATTTATGGTCCTGTGGATTGTTTCTATTAGGAGGAGAAACTGATGATGGAGTCTGGTACCTGATACAATCCTTTTTATTCACAAAGAATGTACAAATTCCTATTTCCCTGAACACAGGCAGAATCAAACAGCAGGAGATAGTTTCTTTCTTCACAGTTCCAAGCCCCTTTCAGCCAGCACTCAGCCCCAAAAGCTGTCTCTAGGCTTTTCCCAGGGCCACACTCTCACTGCTTGTTCAGGCTGCATCTGGCTTTCTGCTCTTTCTATGTGTTTGTTTCTGTGGTGTTTTTCCTACATCTTTCTCACACACCTCCCTGCTAAAAACAATACCCCGCCAAATCCCCTCTGCCCACATAGTTCAAATTTCTGAGTGGCCTCCTGTGTGCCTTTGTTCTTGTCAGTGACATTTGCCTACATTTGGGGTGAAGGCTGCTATTGTTTGATAAAGGAGCTTAACTATTTCTTACAGCAAGCTTAAATGAACGGAAGTGATTACCCAGCCTCAATGATATTTCATCCAACCCATAACAATATATTCACATACCACCAAGCTGTTATCTGAGATAGATTGCAAAATATTTGGGTTAGGACTGTGTCTCATTCTGCATTTTGTAAAGATCTGTGTATATTTATGGTGTTATATTTATGTAAACAATAATATTTCATAGTTGTGCAGAGAACTACCAATTTCCCTCTCTGTGTTCCTCCTTAGGGCTAATCACAGAGAGCTAACATATATTTTTAAAGGTGTTAAGCCCCATGTACACTAGTGTGTAAAAATATAGATCAGTTACAATGTGTTAGCTAACATTTTTATTTAAACACGACCTATTTTCCTGGTCTAGACATGATCATTGATGACCAACACATGACTGTTCCATGGAAGAAATGGGATTTAAAGAAGGGTTTTTAAAAAGGAAGAGAAGGTTCTATACAGACTGGAAAATTTTCCAGTCTTAGAGGGAACTTGGAAAAGAAGCCGAGAAATACAAAAAGGGAGCAGTGAGGACAGATGTTTGGGAGGAGCATAGAGAAAAAAGGGAAACTGGGAAGAAATGAGGGCAGAGACTAAGTGATGGCAAGATTGCACAGTGCATTGAGAATGAAGTATTTGAATTTGATGCTTTAACAAGAGGAAACGAATGAATGAATGGATGGATGTGGTTTGAGTGGCAGAAAAGGAAGGTTACTTGAAAGCTAGTAATTTGGATAGAGTGGAAAGAAAAGAGGTGAGATGTGGAAAGTACAGAGAAGAGCCAGTTTCAGGAACCAAGGCAATACACAAACAAGATATGGGCAGTATTATGGATACATTTTGATATTTTATTAAAAGTGGCAAAATTTAGTCAGAGCTAGGCTATAAGAAGAAGGAGAGAGGGGCTGAAAATGACACTGAAAGTTACAAGCCTGAGATGTGGGTAAACTCCTATTGTCAATGGGCATGGACAAGGGCGGAAGTGGAAACAGATTATGAGGAAAGCTGGGGTATGCTGGGACAAATACTTCTCTGATGTAACTTCATTGATTTTGGTGGAGTTGCACTAGGGATGAATTTGCTGAAAAGACTTCTTGACTGACTTAATTCAAGTCCATGCTTCAAGCTCTCTGTGTGTACATCCTACAGTGAGATTATCATATTCTGCTCTAGAAGAAGATGGGGAACAATGTGGCAGTAAGGAGCCGGAGAACCCTCCAGCCCAAAGAGCAGAAGAAGAGCGACCCCTAAGTGCTGGAGGGCTCTTTTCCTTTCCTATCCACAAGGATGAAGCACTGTACTTCAGCTCCCTTCAGCCCCCAAAGATTGCATATGGCAATGATAGAAGTTTGCCCCATAATGTGGCTTCACCTACAGTGGATCCTAGCACCTTGACCCCCCTCCATACACACGTCTCATATGCAATTGCTAAGGGTACTGTGGACTTTCTGAACATGGGAGAAGAAAGGAAAAGGACTTTGGACCAAAATGTAACATCTCAAAATTCCTTAGAATAAATCTGCTTTCTTAATGGCCTGACCATACCCACAAGTTATTCAGATCCAATTCTGTGTTTTTCTATCTTCTGTATTTGCTGTCTCCCTTAGCTTTTTGTCATCTTCAAATTTGATCAGTCTCAAGTTATCAAGTCACTAATAGTTTTTTATAATACTGGCCCCATTTATTGATGTCCATGGGGCCTGATTTGATATCATCTGCTGTTCTAATGTGACACCATTGTAAATAAGCAGTTCATTGCTTTCTGTCACCCCATTATTGTTACTCACATTGTAATGTTAACTAGAAAATGCTGCTACATTTAATTACTGGACCTGGTCTCACTGAACCCTGGGCACCAAAGGCCATGAATGTTGTGGAAATGGTGTGCTGGTCTCAACATATCATCAAAAGATCCTTAATGGCTAAAATATCCAACAGCATAGCTTTACATCTCCTTCAGATAGCTGCAGTGTGCCCCCAAGCACCAGGCTGTCATAGTGACAGTGATATAGAAGGAGGAGTGCCATTAAATAACTTACAAAGACCACTTAATACTGCACCTGGGTTTTCCGTGAAGTTTTCCCATTCAAGTGCTGAGCTGTCCCTACTCGATTTAATTTATGAGAACTGAAAGTGCCGCAGCCTAATCTGATACTAAGATATATGAGCAGCAATCTTACTTCAAAGACAATTGATATCCAACAGGCTAAAAGCCATGTTGAAACAAAGTCCAAAATTCTTCTGACAGTACTGGAGAAGTAACACGGCGATAAATACAGCGTTAGGAAATTATTTTAAAAGGAAGGTAGCCTAAGGGAGGGTTCAGTTAATGATTTTCTATCCATGGTATATAAACTTTGCCCAGTGTTTTATAGTTGCATAGTTCTACTCCATGTTTATTATACTGTAAAGTTTTTTAGGTCTGACAGAAAACACTCACAATGGAAATTTTAAAAAAATCTTTAAACAATTGAGAAATGTGTTGAGGGTATTTCATAAAAAGACAATGTGATGAAAAGAATGCAAGCCCCCCTAGAAACTGACAGAGTAATTAAAACCTCAAAAACAGACTGGACTTCAAAACTGAAGTGATTATAGTCATGTGTCAGAACTTTCAAGGCATTGCTGAGGGCCTGGAGGGAATGAGTGCTACCTCTCTTAATCCTAAAGTCTATTCTGATGCCACAAGTTTACTAGTTTAGATAAAAACCCTATTAATTTGTCTCTGTTTAGTGGTTTTCAAAGCTGTGCTATAGTTGGTAAATGCCATCCTTCAATGACTTTTTGCAGAGTTGACTTGGATGCTTTTTGCACAATTGAGAAAGTTCAGGTTTTGAAACAGCATATGAGGGAAATCTATATGGAAGATCAATTCCATGAATACTTCATAACAGCAACAGACAAATATGAAAGTCTTTATCTGGATATGGAATATAAAACTGCAGTGCCAAAAATATGTCAAGAAACTCTACATTGAAGGCAGAACAGTAGAAGAGTGTAGAGTTGAACTTGCAGAAGATGAAATGAGCAGATGTTCTGTCAAAGAATTGATCATTATACAACAGAATTTGACAACACATTCAGTCAAGACATTTGTGAGGTTCTTCCACAAACCAGTTTTCCCTTCATCTATGGCTAGTGTCTGCTTTTTCACTGACCACAACTTTGTGGCTTTTTTATTTAAAGGAAAAGGAAAAGTAAAACGTTAGGATTAGATTGAATTAAAAATGAATCTTGGTCTATTTTTTAATAAAACAGATCTTTTCCACTTTATTTTTAGGTTATTTAGGTTCTGTTTACCTGTCAGCACTGCCTCCTGCTGCTGAGTTAACCAAAGATGTCATAAACTGAGCAGAAGCTTTTCTTCCTAAAAAAACAGAAGAAAAGATCAAAATTAGACAAGGGCATAAAACTGACCAGTTGGTCAATATCTCATTCGGAACCTTAGTTTTTCATAAAGTGAGTTAAGTGACACCAAAAATTCACTACATAAGTTTTTACCTGCTACATCCTGACCTTACAGATCTTTGTTTCATATACACAATCAGACATAGTTGCACATAAATCCAAGTACAGAACCTTTTAGAGGTACTGGGAAGCTCATGAAAGAGGAAGTAATGTTCAGCCATGTTGGATTAACATATATTCTATGTATGGCTAGTTTGCTGATGTTGAGGGGACATTGAATACTTTGAACTTCCAATTTACCTTAAAAAATTCAGTCTATTTATATTTAATATGCTGAGGAAAATCACCAAGAAAATGCAAACCATTGAAACTTTTTAAATAAATTATTTTATTGG